TTTTTTTTTTTTTTTTTTTTGAGAGAGAGAGAGAGAGAGAGAGAGAAATCCCGAGCGCTGCCAGCTCAGAGCCTGACTCAGGGCTCAAACTCACAAATTGTGAGATGATGACCGGAGCTGAAACCAAGAGTCAGACGCTTAAGCGACAGAGCCACCCAGGCGCCCCATCTTTTACTTCATTTTCATTTGCTTCTCATACTTTATTAACTTACCTCAACCTGTTTCCCCCCACTTTCTTTCTCACCTATTATTGACAGACATCACTCCTCACATTATATACCAGTGATTTTCAGGCCTTTGTGCAGCAGAAATACCCAAGGAGTATTTTATAACTTAACACGCATGGATATTAACTCCCAGGCATCACCAGGAAAGCTTCCCAGCTCTTTCTCATGTGGAGCCAGGGCTGTGGGCCCCTCATCTACACCTTCAGTTACTGCTCACCGACAATTCTCCACATCAATTCTCCACATCACCACAGTACCAGGTATTTGCCAAATATGTAAGTAAGGGACCCAGAGTCCCTTACTTGGTCATTTCTTATAACCTCAAGTCAACTCTCTTAGGATGAGCCTTACGTTACTGCTGAGAAGGCTAAGGCTTGGAAGAGACACGGTGTTTGCCAAGCCACCGCCAGAAACAAAACTAAGATACCTCCAGGGGCCTCTAACTTCATCTGGCTCAAAGTTATTTCTTTATTTTATTCACTGTCTCTAAATTCTTCCAAGGAAACCAGTTCTCACTCATCTATTTCCTTGGAGCCTTTCTGATGATTTTGCCACCCAAATGACCCCCTCATCAAATGAATGTCATGGTGGAAAAGAGGAAGGAAGTGTGGAAGAAAGCCTTCCAAAAATGTGTTTTCAGAACCCTTGATTTCTCCTCCTTTAAGATGGTTCAAGTTCACATTCTTCAACTGGACACATCTTCTCATTACTTCTTTCATCCCCAGAGCTCGAGTGCTACAAAATCCTGCTTCAACAAACTCCACATTCATCTTCCCCGAGTCCTTGGGCAGGGAAAAGTGCACGTATTTTAAAAACTGTCTAGATGGCTAAATTATAGCAATTTTTCTCTGGGAGAGAGTTGTTCAGATATTACAACCTTCTATTTATTGAGTGTGATAATCTTTCTCACATCCCCACAAAAAAAAAAAAAAAAAAGAAGAGAGCCGTTTTTGCTTTGCTCATTAAAATGATTTGTTTTTGGTTTTTGATGAGTGTAATTTTTCAGGTAGCAACGTTTTATTCTTACTAAAAACCCTCTGCAAGTGCGGAAGCCCCAGTTAAGCACGATTAATCAAACGCTAAATGCTTTTAAACAGCTCTACCCCTTCTTCTAATTGAGAAATAGAGCTGTTTGGGCAAGTTTATGAGGTGACCTTGATTGAATTAAG